GAAGAGGAGAGGAGGAGGGGGAGGAGGAGGGGGAGGAGGAGCTTCTCACTTCCCCCCCCCCCCGCACTCGCCGCCGAGGTCGACTGGACGCAAGTGCTGGGGCCACCCCCGTGAGCTCGCATCCACAGCTCAATCTGGCGAGAGGCCACTCGTGCGCGCAGCCGACGAGATAGGGTTCGGTGAAACGATGCACTCGGACCTAGGCCAGAAAAACGTCCTTCAAGAACACGAGGCCCTCCGCTGGCCAAACCGACGAGCATTCCAGGGTGCCCTGCCCCAGGATACACAAGAGCATCGAACAAGTACGAAGAGCACTAGGGCCGCTAGGGTACCCTCCCCGAACCGACCTCGGCCTTATACCTCGGTCCGACTGCACTGACATGCGAGAGAGTGGCGGCGTGAGCGAACGCGAGAAGGGGCTCGGGAAAAGGCGGTGGCTTTGAGGGAGGTTTTGATAGAGGCCTCGCAGATGGGGTCCGAATAGATGGCGCTGCATCGGCGCTGCACAGGCGACGTCGGCGAGGCATCGGCGCCACCGGCGTAGAGAAAATCGGGCTTCACCTCGAGCCGCAGCGCCAGTGCATCGGCGACGCGGCGCGATCCTCCGACCCCATCTGCTCCGACCCCATCTGGGAGGCCTCGATTTGAGGGAGGCCTGGGGTCAGCGAATCGACTACACGCAAGAGTGACCCTTGGCAAGAGTGACCTTTGGTGCACGGCCTTTTGGGGGCCGCGGGGGGCCAAACACAAGCGCGCAAGACGCCACTGCCGCCTCGCGCTCGGCGATCGGGGGACCCCATTGGGCCCGCACCAAAGGTCACTCTGGCGAAAGGTCACTCTTTCGGGGATGGACATAACCCCCTTTCGTAAAACGTGGTTTAGTGAAGACGACCTCGGGTCCAAACTTGGCGGGCGCGAGCCTGGAAAAGGACGGCCGCGGCGCCCTCTCGAGGACCGAAAACGAACGACTCACTGATCGACGTGTCAGGGTGGGGGTTCTGTCCACCCGCGGCTCTTATTTGGACGCCCGAAATGGGTACGGAACAAATGGGTACAATGCCCAACAACAAATGTTGTCCCAAACCAACAGCGGCCGCTCTTGGGCAGGCGGCCTTCTGTCTCAAATGGGCACAGGCCGCGGCAGCGCGGACAGCGAGTCCTGTTCAAAATGAACAGGAACTGCTGTTGGGCATTGTACCCATTCTTCCCGTACCCATTTCGGGCGTGCCGATCTGACTAGGGGAACAGAAAGTGACGTAAATATAAAAACTCGGAGGTCCGCGCAGATGTCTCGGATCGGCGCTGGACCCCCCTCCCTGGCGCGCGGAGCGCGCCAGGGGGCGGCGCCGGAGGCGCCGCCGGGGGGCCCCAGCGCCGATCCGAGAAATCCGCGCGGACCTCCGAGTTTTTATGTTTATGCCACTTTTTGTTTAGGGGGGAAACAAACCTGCCTCGCTTTTGACCACCCTCGCTTCCGAGAGATGCCAAGCGATGCCAAACTACGCCTGTACTGGTTGGGCCGCTTGACGAGGAGGCGCGTGGTATGACTTGGTTTTGTCTGGAAGCGAAATAGGGCGACGATATCTATACATATCCACTGCTCCTGGCCAGGCCAATCCTGGGCCCAAGAGCTGTGTATACGCCCTCCTGGCTTGGCCAGGGAGGCATATACACCGCTCCTGGGCCCAGGATGGGCCTGGCCAGGAGCAGTGGATATGTATAGATATCGTCGCCCTACGAAAGCGGGGTAGGTAATTCACGCTCTGATTACATCTAGTCGAGCGAGGCAACACTGCCTCACGCCTCCGGCTTGGCGGCCTCCGCGACCAGCTGCAGCAGCTCCCCCCGCAGCGCCGCGGCGCCCGCGGGCGAGAGCCGCTCGGCGGCCGCCCCGCCGCCGGAGCCCAGGAAGCCCGCGAGCTGCGCCTCTCTCCGCGTGCCGGGGGGGAGGGGGAGGAGGAGGAGGGGGAGGAGGAGGAGGAGGAGGAGGAGGAGGAGGAGGAGGAGGAGGAGGGAGGAGGAGGAGGAGGAGGAGGAGGAGGAGGAGGAAGGAGGGGAGGAGGAGGAGGAGGAGGAGGAGGTAAGAGGAGGAGGAGGAGGAGGAGGAAGGTAGGAGGAGGAGGAGGAGGAGGAGGAGGAGGACCATCGTCAACCGGCCTCGAACACATCCCTGTCCCTCAGAGGGGCGAGCAAGAGGCGGGGACGATCTTGAGGGACGTGCTCTGAGAAACTGCGGGAGCCCTCTCAAGACCGGCACCGAGGCGAGGTGGTGCCAGACGCAGGGGTAGGGATAGGCCTCAAGCTGGCAGATCGTGCGGCCGGAAAGAACGCGCGACGAGGAACGGGGGGTGCTTGTCTTCGGCGGCGAGCGCGGGGGGGGGGGGGGAGCGAGAAGGACAGGAGGCCCTCTCGGAAGGCGGCGGGGCTTCGCAGGAGGCCTCCAGCCTTCCGAGAGGCCTCTTTGTGTCTTCGGGGGACGGCTCGGCAGCCCGACGGCGGCGCGCCGCTCCTCGTGGCGGGCGCACGCTGCAGCCGTCGTGCTGCCAGGAGGGGCGCACGACAGGGAACGTGGGGGGCTGCGCTAGGCTTATATCGGGTCTGTCCCCCTACAGGGGGATTTTCGACGAAAAATAAAAAAAACAAAAATACACCAAAAAAAGTAAAAACATACTCAAAAAATAGTCCCCATACTATTTTTGGACTATGTTTTAATTATTATGGGGGTATGTTTGATTGTTCGTCGAAAATCCCCCTGTATGGGGGACAGGCCCGACATAACGCTAGGCCTCTCAGATGGGATCGGAGCGCAAGCAACCCGTATCCTAAGGACGCACGATAAGCATGCAGGGGCCTTGGAGAACCATACAGACACTCCGCGAGCGGGGCGCGGCCAGCGAGCGCGGCCAGGGATGGACCGACGGACGAGGCTAGAATGCAAGGGTACCTTTGGAAAGGTTGCCCATCCTTACTGTGAGGGTTGACTGTAGATGGAGTCGGAGGATCGCGCCGTTTCACCGATGTGTCGGCAATGCGGCTCGACGTGGAGCCAGACTTTCTCCACGCCGACGTCGCCGCTGCATCGCCAACGTCGCTCTTGCATCGCTGATGCATCGGCAATGCGGCGCGATCCTCCGACCCCATCTTCGGCGGCGAGCGGTGGGGGGTAGATGAGAAGGAGAAGGTTTTCTCAGAAAGCGGCGGGGCTTCTCAGAAGGCCTCCCGCCTTCTGAGAAGGTTTCTGTGCCTTCGGGGGCGGCTTAGGAAACTTCTCCGAAGGCCAGGGGACTTCCGAGCCTCCTGAGAAGGCCCGCCCCTTTTCATTTCTCCCCGGGGTTCGCCGACAGAAAGAGTGCAGCATAAGGAGCGATGGGGCTTTTCTGGCTACAGCGGGCCATAATCCACTACATAGATCTACGGAGCGGCCTGAGAGCCCCAGCCACTCCTGGGCCCAAGGCGGCCCTTGTCTCAGCGTCCTGGCTGTCATATGGAGCAGGGATGCGCGCCCCCGAAACATGAAGCCGACGCCGCCTCGTTGGGCGACGGAGCGCGCCGATGCTGCGGGGAGACGGGACCCGTCGCAGAGTCACGCGTCGCTGAACCGTGCTTGCGTTGCCTCCATCTTGGGAGCAGGCGAGTACCGATACGGCAGGTTCGCGTCGTGTCGACCCCGGCGTTGGTTTCTGACACCGCGGGGATCGTTCAACCTTGAACGATCGGCCGCTGCCGCAACGTCCGATCGTTCAACATCGATCGATTCTGGGTCGCCGGCGGCGTTCAACCTTGAACGCCCGCGCTGGGGTCGCCGCTGGTCGACACGACGCAAACCTACCGTACTGCTGCTCCGTGGACCTCCCCCCGGGGCGCGCGTGGGCCAGCCTTCCGATGCGGAGCCTGCCGTGGCGACGAGGGCCACCCAGGAAGACCGAGACGGGCGAAAAGGCTAAAAAAGGCATCGGTGTCGGCATGTCGTTGCTCTGCTCCAGGCCTCCGCGAAGAGGAGGACGAAGACCCCGCAGTCACAGGAGTTGTCCTGCGAAGGTCGAAGCAGGGCAAGCAAACAAAAAACATGACCTTTAGAGGTCCGCGCAGAATGCTTGGGTCCGCGCCAGACTCCGCAAAACGCGCCAGGGGCGGCGCAAGGGGGGCGCCTGGCGCTGGCACAAAAAAGTCCGCGCGGGCGTCGGAAAGTTTACGGTCAGGCACTTTTGCTTGGCGTGTCCCGGCGGCACCCCCGGCGACACGCCATGCGCTGCAAGCGGATTGCGTCTCCCCACTCAGCGGGACGGGAAGATGGGTTACTCTTGGGACGTTGACGCTCGGCGGGCGCTCGGCGGGCCAGAACCCGCGGCGCGACACGCGGAGCCAAAGTTCCGGACCGCGGCTCCGGTCGTTTTCCCTCGGTTTCGGGCCCCAGGTTCCTCACGGATCGATCTGGCTCGAGAAGCCCCGCAGAAAGATGGGGATGCCGACGGACCCGTCGATGATCTTCCCGCCGCATGCTGATGCCTTGCCCTGGCTCTTCGATAGAGATACACGATTATCGCGTTGGGAGGGAGGGCTGGGAAGACACAGAACACGCATGTGCAACAAACACCCTCAACACGCTCGATTGTATGGATGTTGTGATATTTTCTCCCGGCCCGATCCTCCCAACCCGACACTTGAAGGAACCAAAGGGCACCGACGCCGCTACCCCCCGGACCTCTCCCAGGGCGCCTTCTGACCAGGTCTTCGAGGCGACCTCCAGCGGCGAAGACGAGGGCCTCCCAGGAGGCCGGAAAAATAAAAAAAACTGACTAGGGGCAGCGGCATGGGCACATTTTCCTCCTCGGAGATGTGGAGGCTCATGAATGGTAAGGACGTCTCAGGCGAAACGCCCATCGAGCCCTTCCGACTGGCCTTGGGGTGCGACAGGGAGAATATATTCATAAGGAGGAGAAATGGCGCACGAGGGAGGAGGATGAGGAGGAGGAGGAGGAGTAGGAGAAGGAAGAAGAAGAGGAGGAGGAGGAGGAGGAGGAAGAGGAGGAGGAGGAGGAGGAGGAAAGGGAGGAGGTGGAGGGAGAGAGGGAAGGAGGGAGGGAAAGAGGAGGGTGTAGAGGAGGGAGGAGGGAGGCGGGAGGAGGGAGGTCGTCGTCGTGGAACGCTGGAAATGGCGGCGCGCCGTCCTCAACTCGACTGGCACTCTTATACCTGCGATACATAATACAACAGTAGACAAGTCAGAGAAACAGAATCAGAAGATCACAGAATCAAAAAAAGGAAAGCCTCGCGCCAGGCCACCTGAACTGGATCCGCGAAGGGGCCTGCCGGGCGAGGAACAACAGGACTGTCGAACAAACCTGCAAGCGACACCGGCACTGCGCGGGCCGCCGCCGCAGCGGCGCGGCGGGCCGCGCGACGTCGCCCGGCCTCCCCGCGATGCTCGGCGATCCGCGCGAGCTGGGCGTCGGCGAGGGGGAAAGGCGACGGAGGGGGAAGAATGGGGGGGGGGGGCGAAGACGAAGCAGGGGCACGAGGAGAACCGAGCGCCCAAGCGGCAGGATACTCCTCAGCACATTCTATGACAGCCTGCTCCCCTGAGGCTTCCACATCCAACGATGTGCCCCCCAAATGGGGGCTCGCAAGAGGGCCGCTGCAACGGGGGTCCTCCACCTCCGCCTCAGCCTCCGACTCAGACTCCTTGAACCTGTCCGGTTCTGGGCCCACGCGACGTCGCCTACGGCGTCGACCCGCGGCCCCGGCAAGGTCAGGCTGGAGACTTGGGTCTGGGGGAGGCGCAGGAGGAGGGACCCGCCCACGAGACATAAAAATCCCGAATCTCACCCTCGACGAGGTCGGCATCCTCCGAAAGCCTGTTGACAGCCTGGCTGGTCGACTCAGCACGCGCCTGCAGCACGCTGGCCCTGATGCCTTTGGCGATCGCGAGACACATCCCTGGAGGATATCTCTTCTTGGGCGCAGTGAAAAAACGGCCCTGGTCATCTTTCCCCCAGAGAGAACGGTGGGCACCAGGACCGTGGGAACACTTCCCTTGGCCAGGGGCGTTGCGAAGCTCATTATACACCGCGGGCATCGGATGCTAACTATACACGCGGGGGCTCTCCCAAAGGAAGCGGGGTCAGAATCGGGGGCCCGGTGCTCGCACCGATCGAACACACGCGCGGCCGCACGCGGGGCCGAGGCGACGGCCGCGAGAGGGGGCCGCCGAAAAGAAGTCGGGGCCCTAGGGCCCCACAAAGCAGGAGCAGGGCGTTCAGTCCAGGCCCCCGCCCCCGCACGGAGGTGCTCCGCCATGAGACGTACTATAGCGCGTAAAGGCATGCTACCTACTCTCAGCCGTTCCGATCGTCGAGCGGTGCACCGCGGGACTCCCCAAACGTAGTCAGTAGACCTGAGAGGAGGGGGCCCCCCTCCTGCCATCTGGCAGCAGACCAAGTCTCGCGGGAGGGCCCCCCTTCTGTGCTGATGACTCTACGGGCACGCATGTGTTCGGCCCACTCCAGGATAGCCCCTTCCCTCGCAAGGTCGCCCCTAATCGGATCGATGGCGATGTCGATACTCAGCATAAGCACCTCCACACAGGGGAGCACAATCTGATTCTCGAGCTGCCACTGCAAATCTCCACGCCTCCTTTGACCACTAAACACGTGCAAGGCAAAGACAGTTGGCCTGCGGATACGAATAGGTGTAGCCTCCGAAGCGACACCAGAGTAGTCACCGACTCGATAAGGGTGAAAAGGGGGGTCCACCATAGGAGAGGGAACAACAGGAACACGAGACTTGAATGTCGAGGAAGCCCGACACCGAGGAAGTCTCGATACAGTAATCCGACTCACACATGATTTCCATGGCCTGATCGTCAGAAATCGAACGCAGCAAACGAGCCAGCTCCTCCGAAAGAACAGCCACATGCATTGAAGCAGGAACTTCCACCCGCCATCTGCCTTGACCTGAACGGAGCTGCTGCGCAATGCGACAAGACTCTGACTCATTCAAAGCGTCGGCCTGATCTCGAGAGCATTGTCGGCCCGACCATAAAAGGCCCAGCGCGCACTTGGGAGAGTCGAACGACTCATGCGACACCACAGCCGAGCGATGAGCAAACACAGTGCCACACGTAGCACACCCCAGACTCGGGCCGAGGAAACGACGAACGAGCGAAACACGAAAATGATGATGCCGAATAACATGCGACCGAAGCTTGCGAGCACAATCGAAGGTAACGTCACACCAGAGACACGTCCAAACTTGCTGCTCTTCAGCCTCTGCTCGACGGAGCGGACGCCCAAGATCCGTAACTGCATGCGGCGCACCAGTAGTTCTCAGAACTTCAAAAAAACGTGCTCAGCAGTACGCGTTCAAGCAAGAGGCGAATATGCCTGGCATGTGATGCCAGGGTGTCTCTGATTATGTCATTCCATGCTGGGGCTGACCGACGAATTCGCATTTCCCAAAAGCGAAGGTCCTCGGAGGGGTCGGAGAGGAGATGGCATTGAGAATGAAACGACCAGACCCACTGCACATCCTCAACAGTCTGACGGCCCCAAGACCTAAGACATTCCGTCCTGCACGTCGTAGCCAGGGCCAGGATATGTGGGGGGCCATGGATAAGAAGCCGCCCGCAAAGCCGAAGACGTCGAGCGCTCACGAGGGCCCCCAGGGGGGGCTTGAGGACCTCACCCAAGATAGCCAGATTATTGGGCGCCGAGGGGGCCCTGCGAGGCTGCTTGGCGATAGCCCGGCAGTAGCGCACCAGATCGCCCTCAAGGCTCCGAAACTGAGCTGCAGTGAGATATCCCAACGCACTTGCTTGTAATAGTTTGCCTGGGCAGGCCAGGGAATCGAGTGTAGCTGCGTCGATGTCAGTGCAAGGCTGCAAAGAATGCGTCGCCGAAGGCAAGTCCAGGCACTGGCACGCGACTGCGACCGATGAGCCAACTCTGGGCCCGTGGAACAATAATCGTCTTGAGTAATACCAAAGTGGGTGCACTGATGTGCCGCATGGATTTGTAGGGCACCCGCCTTCTCCGCTGGGACCTGGGAAATGCCGCCTAAATCTGACCGCGGGGTCTTCTTTGCACGCGTGGCCCCAGGGCCCCGAAACTGGACAAGAAGCGCCGACCCACCAACCTTGGCCGTCAAACTGAGGCCCTTCTCCGCAAAAGAATCTGCGACTTCTGCCGCCAATGCCGGGGCGATGGCAAGTATCAGCTGAGGTCTGCCGCGCAGGAAGAACACGGCGTCGCCAGAGAGAGCGCCTTCGAGAGAGTGAACCGCGCGGGATGGGGCGCCCTCAGCAGTCAACTTTGCGAGCGAAGCATGCGCGGCCGTCGGGGCGCGCAGCGCGATGCCGAGCGGTAGGGGGCGAAGATAGCGCCGACTGCATCGTAGACGACACGACCGAGTTGAAAACAACGCCCCCGAGCCGCTGTCCAGGGCCCGAGCCCATCATGGGAAATGCAACCTTAGAAGCGCTAGGCACATAAAACCATGACCCACTGCATGCATCGGCTATCTGAGCACGACGGAAGGGGGGGAACTCCACTGGAGACGAGGAGAGGGGGGCGCTGCATGGTACACTCCTGCAACTCTGCCAGAGCAGCTGGCGGAAGTCCGCTTGCCTTCAACAACAACGCCAACGAAAACTCTTCTCGCGCCGCGTGCATGACTAGTTCCCGCGCGCACTTGAAGCACGCCTGTACAACGTCAAGAAATACAAACAACGCTGACGCCTTGCGCGCCTCGGCCAGCAGCTTTTTTTATTTTTTTATTTATATATATATATATATAAACGCTGCTCAGGAGCCAAAATTTATGCACCTCTGTCTGGGAGGTCCTCCGCACTGCCTCTAAGGCGAGAACAACATCCCCTTGGATGGCGCTGCGATGCCGTTTTCCGAAATGGGAGGGGGCCACAATTGAACGGTAACAGGCGCGCTCAGACACGCCCCCAGACTTGAAGAGAGACTGGCAAAAGCCGCCCTTCCACCGAATGGGCTCAGCAACGCGAAACGCGGCCTTGACTGAAAGCGGAC